CACCCCCCCCCGCCCAAATAAATAATCCGGATCCGCACCCTCCACCCAGCTCTGGAACCGCTTTAGGCCCAGCGGCATGAGCGGGGAGAAGCCGAAACGTACCGGAGGGCCCGAGGTTAAAAATGCAAAATATCCGGCGCTGCCGAAGGCAGGTCCCCCCCGGCCCCGGCCCCGCCGCCGCCCGGCCGGGGGCAGCGGTAACAGGCACCATTACGGAACCATCATCATCATCATCATTCACTCCGTCCTTTTCTCACCTCAGGAGTCTGAGCCCATTCACCAAAGTCCTTCCTCGTCCAGGAGCTCAAATATTTTCTTTTTTTTTTTTTTTCTTCCCCCCCATCTGGGGTGGCTGGGGGGTGTGGGGGGGAAGCAGACATAGCTGCATGAAGTGGCTGCCTTTTCGAAAGCACATTTAATCTTTCCTGGCTCCCCTAGGCTTCGATGAATTAGAAGGGAAAGGAGAGGAGAGGGGGAAAGAAAAAATCCAGGCAAGGGAGGCTGTTGAGGGACAGCAAGCATCAGGCTCAAATCAACGACCAGATGAAAATGTACTAGACCACACTGCCCCCTCTCTTCCTCTCGCTCTGTCTCCTTCTCTCTCACACACTCTCACTCCTGGAAAGCTTCAGTGTCTGGTTACAGACTCTTTTGGATCCTTCCCCCCCGCTCCCCACCCTCGCCCTCTGCCAACTATCCTAGAGATTCCTTGCATGCCTACTTAAATCTTTAACAGAATAAGGACCCGGCTCCCCCCGCCGCCAGCCCCGCACACACTCACACACTCACACACACACCACCGCCGGTCACCCTTCCCAATAATCTCTTAAGCTGCCGGGAGAAACCCGCCGGCGCATCCCCGCCGCATCCCCGGCCCCGCCGCATCCCCGCCGGGCACCGCCCCGGGACCCTCCGGGACCGCTGCCGCTCCCCCTCCGCCTTCCGACGGGGGTGCAGGGGGCTGAAGGGCAAGCAGAGGGGGAAGCGGAGGGGCTGCAGCCCTTCGCCTCGCATCCCTGCGGCTGGCGGTGGATTTTAAGACAATAAAAATCCAGCGCTGGCTCCGGCGGGTGCCCCCCGCTCCCCCCCTCCGCCGCCACGCCGCAGCCGCCCGTGGAAATCGCACGCCCCACGTCTGCAGTGAGGCAGGCAGACTGCCTGGCTCATGCCCGTGATGACTTTAGAGCTGACAAGCTCCTCTCCTCGACCCCCCCTTCCCCTCCACACCCACCCCTGCGCTCAATGGCAGCGCTGCTGCCTCTCGCACCAGACTATATTTGCAATATGTGCTAATTTACCAGCTATATGCCCTTGGATTTTAAAATGAACTCATCAGTCAATGTTTCTAGTAGCGATGCTCCCTCTCTCTGCCTCACACACCCTCCACTGCAGACATGTTACTCATTCTGCAAGCATTTCCTCCCCGAATGTCCGTCAGACGCATATACACTTCATTGATCAAACCAAATCCCCTGATAACAATAAATAATAATACAGACAGTTAACATCAGCGGGGAGCGGAGCGGGGGGGCGCGGGGGGAGAGACAAAGATGACGACTAAATCTGCATTGTGCTTTAGGAGGCTGAGCCCTGCCTTTCCCAGGGATGCTCCGCACAATGCGGGGCGCAGGTAGCCCCAAAACCGAGCTCTGGGGCCTTGCCCAGCCCCCCCCGTTTGCCCAGACGCTGGGGATGGTGATGTCTGATACCTGAACCCACACGGGCTTCAGAAGGTGCTCGTAGGAACGGAAGGTTCTGGCTGTGGAGGAGAGGAAGCACCTCCCGCAAAATACAGCAATAAACGCAGGCAGCTTCTTTGTTACGCTGAGCACCGCACGGACGCTCAGGAATTAAAGGTATCCGGGCACCCAAAAGCACAAGGATTGCCAGAAACACCTTCCAGCTCCCCCTGAAATCCCTTTCCTTTGTACTGGAGGCAGGGAGCACCTCTGCAAGAAGCCAGGTTGGGAAGAAGGGCTGTTAAACATCCCTCTGTGCCGGGTGTTTCAAGGGCTTTAGGGCTGCCCTGGCTTTATTTCCCAGTTTTCTGGGGCTGAAACAGGGGAGGCAGGAGATTGGGATTGCCCCTTGGGATTTTGGCTGGTTAGACAGCTTGTGTGGGTCTGGCAAAGAGAAAGTGGCTGCAGTGTGAGCGTTCGGGAAGTTGGGGAGGGTGGGGCTATCTAGAAATCTTTGACTCACTGGGGTAACTCCCTGAGCACAGGAATCAAATTATTGCTCCAAGCAAACTGCATTTTATGAGCAGCAGCCTCAGAATGAAATTCTGCATGCACACAGAGCTGGGCACAGCTAAAATAAAGGCATGGAAATAAATATGCAGCCCGTAATTAAATTATTGGGTGCAATGCAGAAGTCTCCGGGTGATGGAAGAGGTGGGATTATGCAGCAAAGTCAGTTTGGGAATCCACAGATACAAATTATTTTATTTATAATCCTGATTGGCATCAACCTAGATAGGGGAAGAATCAAACCTGTGTACTGAAGGATCTAATCTTTGGGAAAAGTAGTTTGGATTAGTGACTGTATCTGCCAACCATGTTTTCACTCCCTTTAGAGTCCCTCACCACCACTGCAAGATTTTGCCATCGCACAGAGCATTTCACATCCATTGTCTCCTTATCCTCCTTCCCAATAAAAAATGTTTGATTTTTTTTTTCCCAAAGTTTTGTAGCAAACACATAATTTCTTTATACACTTTAGCCAAGCCTTTGGAGGATACTTATTTCAAGCAGTTAACACCTGACCCCAATTTTTGTGGGTAATTAGTGAGCTAGATAACCACACAAAGTGGGTAATTATTTAGTACCCAAGGGTACTGTACAAGAGGGTAGAGGCTGGCGGTGTTAACAAAAGCACATCCCTAATTATTGTATCCATCCTGATGTTTTAAGAATAGTTACTTCCACCTAATGATCCATGATAAATCAGTAAACTCTTCTGCCTGCCTTAGATGGGATAACCAAGGGCAGGAAGGGAGGGCAAAGCAACGGAAGGCACAACTTCAATTTGTGCAAGCTCCAAAAAAAGACAGATGAATCCCCTTGGAAAAGGCAGCGAGACTGGAAGTGCCAGCTCTGGGACAGCCTGATAACCACCCCTAAAATCCACCGGGTTGGTTGGGAAGGCTGGAAAAGCCACGAGGGAGGTTTGTAGGGAGTGCCTCAGGGTCTGCTTCTGCCTTAGGGAACGTGGCCGTGCTGATGGATCCTTGAGTGCAATCCATCGTGTTCCAACCAAGCTCAGCCTGGCTCCTGGAAAATCGCTTTAAAGCTGTGCAAATGGGGTGTTCTGTGTTTGGGGAGGGTCAGAAATGCCAGGGGGTTGCATTCATCACATTTGATGAACTTCAATTATCCATCACCGCCAGTGTTTACGTTGTGTTTCTCCCATGGAAAACGTTGCATCCTCAGCAGGATTGTCCTCAAATATGAGAAGGGAGAAATGGGATATTGAATATTGAAATATTTGAAATATTGAAATAGAAATGAAATAGGATTCAGCAGTTAAATCCATACAAATACCCCCAAGGCAGGTGTCAGAGGAGGGTGCCAGACTGCTTTTGGTGACAGGAAAAGGAGACAGAAAGTAAAGCTCAACAAGTTCCACCTCAGCCTGGGGAAGAACTTCCTGCCCATGGAGGTGGCAGAGCCCTGAACAGCCCAGGGAGGTTTTGGTTCTCCCTGCTGGAGCCACCCCAGCCCCACCTGGATGTGTCCCCTGTCCCTGCTCCAGGTGACCCTGCCTGGCCAGGGGGGTTGGGCTGGGGACCCTCCAGAGCTCCCTTCCCACCCCAAATGCTCCGGGACTCTGTGAGAAAAAATAAATTGGTTTTAATCAGCAGCAGCAGGTGATAAAGAAGCGTTTGCTGGAAACAGATCCATGGCCTGGAACACAGAGCCCCCATCCCCTGACCACTGCCTGAGCACTTCACACTCACTTAAGGACATCCTCAACCAGGACATTAAGCTCAGAGGAAAAGCACTTTCCTCTTTTAATTGCTTTTATGAATCGCCACCGACATCCAGACACTTCATTTACTGTAGTCCAGCA